CCCAATGACCGTGAGTTTCTACTTTCGATTAGAGTACGACAGATAGTCTTGAATACTTTGAAATTTTAACGATTGATTGACGTCACCCTTCTGGTTTTTGTATGTAGCTTGGCATACAATTTGACACGGATCCATAACAATATCAACCTCGCGGCCAATAAATTATTATTTTCGTCCACAGTTCGTCTACTCCAGAGTTAGACCATCATCATAGCATTCCGAAAGTTTTCAAGAATTTGATAAACCCGCATTCTCATCCCATCATCCTGAATTGAATATTTGATGAGCAATGACACATCGTCAATCATCCTACATCCAGAAACAAGCGCCCTATCTGATTCCAAAATGGAGAGAAAAAAGAATTTATTGTAAGCGCATAAGAAACATGCTAAGGCAGGGCTAGTCGTCTTACCCGTGAGAATGCCCACAGTTTGACGATGAAGTTGACTAGCTGCCATGATCATTGTGTTTTGTAACTCATATTGGACAAACAATAAAATTGAAGAGAAATACAAGCGAACCCACCCTTCCTCTCCTTTTCCCTTGATCAATCTTGCCATCTTATCCCATTTTTTACTAGTACTCTTTCAAATTTTTTCTCCAACTAGTAGTCTAACAGCCATCGTAGCAAACACTGGATGGATTGTTGGGATATGTTATAAAACATTTCTTTGATGTCAAATGATTCACCCACCAGTGCACTGCCATCCCCCACTTTGTTCAAGTTGTTAATCTTTAAAATTTTCTTCCATAACATACAACTGATAGCCCTTGCAACTCATCGCGCATTGACAATGGAGCCCTCAGAATGTGAGGGATGGATTGGTCGTCATCGACTGACGTCCTTGTGTTTGGCCAAGCAATAAACCCGTCTTATTACCCCATCTTTCTTCCATGGACCAATTTTATCAAATCCACCTAATTCATAAAGTGATTACATCCAACACCCATCTCCTCTTCAGATTCGAACACCTTAACAAAGGACGGGTTATCCAATAACAACTTCCTCATTCCTTGACCATATACCACAAGGCAATATATAAAAGTGTCCCCTGGGTTATGGTCTTATGGAGAGCAGATCAAACCGCTAAGGTCTTGCTGACACCTACTCACATTATCAACCGAACATGTCCTATCGTTCGTCATAACAGAATTGAGAAGGCAAAACTGAAGAACGTTAGAATTGAGAAGTTGAGATTGTAGCCTAAGGAAGGAATCGAAAGAGTTGAAGGATCACAAAATTTGTAGATTGGAAATTGGATTTTGAGAGGACGGGCAAAGGATATTTAATTTATTGAAGTTAAGCATCCAAGGAAGAAAATCGTCAGAAAAATTACTCAGACGAAAAGACATATGCCTATCCTTGAGTGGATAGGCCTTACAGGATTGCTTACATCTACACTCGAAACTGCTACTCCTTGCATATGGTTATAAATCAGATCACCCATAATTTTGTTCTTACACCAAACAACACGCATGCGTTGAGCCACCATCTCCTTTCATGCATGTTTCGAAATAAAGTTCACCAACGAGTCGTGCACATAACTTTCTTATTTTAACTTTACGTTATTTGTGGTCATATACTACACGAATTACAAGTCGTTGTCAAATCTCAACTCCAAATCTTGTCGACAAGACTTTAGACAGAATCATCCTCAACTTGCTTTTGGTCCTCTTCCCTTGAAAACACTGAATCATTGAGAATGTATACACCAACTGCCCCAACCTCCAAGTTTGTAACACATTTTTTGAAGAAGGTTGACTTAGAAAAGTACTTAAACATGGTTAAAAAACCAACCCTCGTCTACAAAATGGAACGACCACCTCGAAACTCAAAACAACGCTCTCAATTATCTTTTCTTTCGAACTTCGCAATTGATCCCGCCCAAATACACATGAGACGATCGATAAGTCATACCAGCGCCTAATCACCTTCCAGTTATCGATCATCAACTAATCCCCTTTGCAAACAACTACCGTGCTAATAATCCCCTCATCAGGGCAATCATTAAGAATGCGCAAAAGGCTAAGGGGATACCACACCAGACGAAAAATGAAAATAGTCAACAACTTTTTAATCCCATCCTTCGACTGAAAGTTCTCATAAATCTCACACTTTTTGCGAGATATCCGTTGTTGTTTTTTCTTTCCCAACCTCCTCTTTTTTGCTCTTTTTGACCTACTCCTCACATTCAAAGAAGAGGAAAAATATAAATTTTCAACATATTATAAGTCGTTTTTCGGGCAGTAGCACACCGAAATCGCCACATACTTCCTTGTACCACATCCTCGGAGCCATCTGTATAGTCGTTCATTACGCCGCCCCTTGCTGATCACCGACTCATTACAAGACCTGTACACATGCTTCTTCCAACGTACATCTAAATCACGCCTCGTACTCCCTATGTAGATGTAATGACACCATGGTGATACAAACACATACACCAACGGACCTTTAGTTGACTCCTTTGACTGCCACCACTCCCATACATATAGAGCCAACTTCCCAGCCTAAACAATCTCCCCCAATAAGATAAGTGCAACTACAACCAGACGAAATAGTGAATCAAGTGTTTTCAATCTTAAGAGACAAACAAAAGATAACCTTGCATATAGACAAGAAGACGCCATGGACCATAGATCAGCCATGTTTGGGAGGGACCCTAAGAAGTAGCCCCCTCCCATCCAGCTTGTCTTCATTCTACAATCCATCTACTAAATCGCCGGAGATTTCCTAAATAGTCGACTTTTTCCCAAACGCTCTTTCCACTCTTTTCGCAATGATCTCGATAATTGTTTCATGCAGCGTAGTGTACTTGACTCCCTTATTCAAGCAAATCTTTGTCACGTCGTCCTTCTTCTTTCCACAAAATTCTTTCTTAGCCTCGCGAATGAAGGTTTCTCTCTCATTTTCCTTCATAAATTCTTCGTCACCGCCAACCTTCTTCTTGTTTCCAGTAGTTCTCAGTGCCGATCTCCCACCATCACCTTTTGCCTCATCCAATCGTTATCGGAAGGTTGACCGTGGAGTATCTCATCTTTCGGCCTCTCGCTTAGCCAATTCCTCCTTCAATCTCTATTTCTCTTGTTCTACTTCTCTTCAGAGTCTTCGCCTGTTCAATTCTTGCGAACGCATTTTCTTTAATGCCTCCACCTCCAAGTTGTGTAACTGCCAAAGATTGTCCAACCTTCCAGGGGCTTGTCGAGGGGTCATTGGCAGCATCTTCAGTTGTGTTGATGGTGACGTGGCAACACGGCTATGCTTATTGCCAGACTTGAGAGCCTCCCTCTTCCATATCTCAGCCTCGTGCAAAGCATCCTCTCACGTTTGCTTCAACGTACGGATCTCATCCTCCAAACTGTCAACCCGTTTACGTGTTGTCATTGTCGATTCCATCTTCTGCCTCATGTTCTCCTGCTCTTGCATCAATAGAGCCAGGAAGGCATCGTCACCTGGTATTGTCCTACTTGTCGAGGCACTCGACGCTTCTACCCTTTGTGTTTGCTTGATCTGCAACAATTCCACCTGTTGTTGAGTTTCTCCAATTCTTCGTTGTTCGCTCCTGTAGCCTTGCTTACCCACATCGCTTCACACACTGATTCAAATTTCGCATTCCATGTATCATTGAGTTTCTTATGAAAGTCCTCCCTATCCTTTGTCTCTTTCAATCTCCATTCTTCAGCTTCCTGCTCACGCTTGAGTTTCTCCTCCTGCTGCTGTTTGGCCACGACCTTCGTCATTCCTGCATCATACCACGCTTTCAATAATGCCATCGTCTCTTCAAGTGTGGTCACACGTTGGTTGGTAACGTTGGTTGGTATTAAACCAACCACTTCCCTTTGCATACTGCACATTCGGAACTGTACTAGAAGATGGGGCAGGTTGGGTTATCGGAGGAGGGGGGGGGAGAGGGAGGGGAGTAACTACAAAAGGATTCGTAGTAGGTGCTGATTGAGCCAGAATGGGAGCCTGGGAACCATTTCAGCACCGACAACCACCACCAAGTAACGAAGCCACACAACCAGTAGTCTGATCCCTATGGTGGTTACTCCGAGAAGCAAAGTGTAGATATCTCAGTGTGAACGGCTATGCCTACTACGGGCAGACAACCAACGAAATGTCCGATCCTCATCCACGTCATGTAGAGAGAGAAAGAGCGAGAGAGAGAGAGAGAGAGAGAGAGAGAGAGAGAGAGAGAGAGAGAGAGAGAGAGAGAGAGAGAGAGAGAGAGAGAGAGAGAGAGAGGTACAAAAAGTCTCCCGAACATGACTCGTGTTATGAAAAAACGTTGACGCTCTGACGGCTAGGACCCGACTAGTTTCGGTCAGCCGTCCCCGGCACTCCTCAGGGGTCTTCATAGACCTATTTGTACTCTGCATCGTAACTGAAGATTGTCATCTGAACCGTTCACAAAATCAGTGCTTATGAATCTCATGGAACTATGGGTCTTCTCCCAACTTCTAGGTCCTCGTACTTCCGAGTACCTACACATAAGTCCATACTGGACCAGTTCTGTTTTACAGTACCGTCAACAGCTCAAACCCAAAGGAACTACTACTTTGAAAAACATAGGTTCGGATACCCGTTCCCAATCTGCCCGACCCTTCTAGACAGCTGACCTTTCACGACCAACTCAATCTCGGAACCAGTCATCAACTTTTTTTCACCTTTAGTACCTAGCGGTCCCACAGCACATACCCATAGATGGGCCCAACTTCTTCCTAGCGGTCCCACAGCCCGACCCTTCTAACCGTAGATTGCTGCAATCTAGGGTCAGAAATGAAGCGTACGCTGCACCCCCCTTTTTTCGAAAACGAAAGCCATATTCTTCTCTCAACTTCACCTTTCAGAAGGGTACGGGTAAGTGGGACTTGCCCCCAACAGTTCTCTCTTTCCAAGCGCGGAAGCTGCCCTCCCCACCGCGCAGCTCCCCCCCCCCGCCTCCCCACCGCGCAGCTCCCAAATTCCGAAATCGCTGTGGCGTCCCGAATGTACGCGACGACAATTTCCCAGCCCCCGGCCCCCGCGCAGCTCCCCCGGTCCCCATCTCCAAACTCCAAACAGGAAAAAAGGATTGTTGGGGGTTCTTGAAGTTGGTAGAGAACTGGGAGGGAGAGGGAAGACTACTGTCGCTCATCTAAAAGGTCCGTGTTCACGTCCTCCCCCTCCTAAGCATCCCCCTTCTCTCCTCCTCCTTGTCTGCTGTCCTCGACCTTCTCTCCTACTCGTGTTCTCCTTTCGTTGACCCCTCCATCTCACTGCTTTGCACCCCTTGCCCCTCCCTATCCCCATTTTTCTTCCCCCTATTTCCTTAGCCTACCTTCTCTGCCTTCCTCTCCTTCTCCTCCTCCTCCCTCCCTGTTGTAATTCCCTCCCCTCTCTTCCTCCCTTCCTTCCTGCCGTGTGACCACTTCATCTTTCTCTTCGGAAACCATTCCTCTCTCTCTCTCTCTCTCTCTCTCTCTCTCTCTCTCTCTCTCTCTCTCTCTCTCTCTCCTTCCCGACATCGCCCTCTCATCTTGCTCCCTCTCTCACATTTTTGTTGGTAGTTCCCCCCCTCCCTCCTCGTCCTCCATGTCTTGCCTGTCCTCTTCTCCTTTCTACACTCCCTCTGTTGCCCACTCCAACCCTCCTGCCCCTACCGCTCTCTCTTAGCATTTCTTTCTTCGAAAAAAAAGCTTTGTCTTTTAATGTGCCCCAGCGCCTCCCTGTTTTTCGTCCCTCTGTTGCTCAGTCCAACCCTCCTCCCCCTCCCTCCTCCCCTCCCTCCTCCCCTCACCTCACCCCCCTCGCCTCCTTGCTTCGTCTGTCTAGTCTCCGATGGTGCTTCAAATCTTTGTTTGTCGTATTCTTTGGGTCCTTCGTCTTTTCCCTTTGCTTCCTCCTCGTTTGATCTATCACAGCTTCCTCGTATCTTACTCGTATCGTCCTCTCTTCCACGTGTCGTCCGCGTATCTTCTTCGTATCTGCAACAAATCTTCCTCGTATCTTCTTCGTATCTTCAACGAATCTTCCTCGTATCTTCTTCGTCTCTTCAACGAATTTTCCTCATACCTCCCTTTTTTCTTGTGACGTCCGTTTACCATTTGCGTCGCGTTGTTCGCTCGTGCGTGCGTGTGTGCCACAACTAGTGGATATATAGATATTCATGTGACGATATATATATATATACCTCCTGATGAGTCGGTGAAACTCCGACGAAACAGTTTGTCACAGCCCCTTGTTTGTTGTCCTCTTCTCCCTCTCTGCCTACGGTTTACCGGGCAGTTCTATTTGACGATATATATATATATATATATCGTCACAAACAGAACTGCCC